TCACTTCCTAGACCCACACAGTTTCATGCCCCCCCCCCCCCCCCCCCCCAAGAAATACGAGTTGGCTTGCTATTATCGTATCGCATCTACTTGGGCAGTATAACTTCTGAACATTATCAAGGATGGACGCACGAGGTTATTTCGAAGTCGACACAAGATACACATAATTATATAGAAGCAAACAACAGACAAGAACTTACACGCCGGCCACAACAGTATCCCAACCGTTGCAATGGCTCATCGATGATTCGGTCAAACATGTCAATCATCTTCTTAGCAAGTCTCCAGAGTTTGTTGTACTTCTTGTTAAATAGGAGAGCGTTGTCACACATCTGGTGGAAGTCGTCGATGAACTGAAACGGGTATTTGTATTCGCCATCCTCGAGTTTCTTTCGCATTGTGCCCAGGTCCATGGGGTGTTTAACAATCTTCAGGTAGTCTGGGGCGCAATCTCTGGCAGGATCCACCGGTTGATGGAACGCATCTGAATCTGGAATCGAGTGGATAGTGCTCCACACTGGCAGCAGCTCCGATACCAGAAGCTCATTCTCAAAAACGAGCTTTGGCGCTTTCTGTGCCGGTAGAGGCTTGGGTACGACGGACGGAGTGGCTGCTGGAGCAGTCAACTGCGAAAGCGTCTGGTCGTCAACTGAGATTTCGCCCGGCTTGATGGCAAGGGATGTTGGTGGCTGGACTGGCGCAGGCATTTCTTCGGTCACAGCGGCGCCGGCAGTGACCTCACCAGTGCTCGACACTGGCGTGGGCGGCTCATTTGGCGATATTGCCAGCGGCGGTAGCATACTAGTCTTGGGTACCGCGTTGCCGCAGTCCTGGAAACTTCTTTTCGCTTCCTCACTGGGCTCGGTGGTGTCCATGGCAACAGGAGTAGACAACATTGGGACGGCGGCAAGCGTGAGCAGAGAATTCTTGTCGCACACACTAGACACAGGCGATGACAAAGACGATGTGCCTGCCGCCACTCCAGTGCAGGTTGCGCCGCCAGCAGCGATAGCCAGCTTGTTATCCTCCAAACCGGAGGCAGCAAGACTGGTGGGTCCCGATTGCTCCGCAATTGCTGCTGCTGCACCGGTGTTTCCCACTGCAGCTGCACTTTCAGTGCTAGGTGCCGACAGCGCAGGATCTGCAATCAGCGGCTCCATCTTCGGAAAACCGTCCGCCAGAGTTGCAGTAGCTGCGCAATCCATCACCTGCTCCCCCGTGGCTGCTACCGAAGGCAATTCTTCCTTGACTACTGGTGTCACCTGACTTGCAGTAGCAGCCTCGCTGCCAGCTGGCAAAGGACACGACACTGCTCCGGCATGCAGGCCATTGTTGGTGTTGGTAGCAGTGCCGCCCCCTGTACAGAGAGCACACACACACACACGCACACACGCACGCACGCATACACACACACAATTGACCACAACAATTCGTTGATCTACAGCAGGAAATTGCAAGAATACTGAAATGGCCAGCATGAGATCAGACAAGGAAGGTAAACAAAGGGCTAAGAAAACATATGTCACAATTTTCAGTTTCCAGCCTTACCTTGAACACGCTTGCGGAAAAGGCTTTTCTTATGCTCGAACTGTCTTTGCAGATTCACGCAGTTCTGTGCATGAGTTTCCACATATGCCGTCTGCATAAAAGAAGTCACCAAGCATACGCACATATGATCACAACCACGTGAAAAAAACAATTTTAGTGTGTGCGTGTGTGTGTGTGTGGGGGGGGGGGGGGGGGGGGGAGATTCAGCACTACATGTAACCGAAACTGGCAAATAGGATGCCGTGCAGCAATAGAACATTGCTCACAAGGCACTCATAACAGCTGGTGTTCGGCGGTGTCTTCATCACAGCCGTGGTTACTGTTTGCTGCCCAGACCTACATAGTTAAACTGCAGTACAAGTACAATCAAGAGTAGATAAACAAGAGTGTGCAACTCCCGGATGGGTTGGCCCACGGCGGAATTTTTTTGTTGACGCAATCTTTTCTACGACGCACGCGCTGCGAGTCTGTCGGGAAGTTTTTGCCTCGTGCACTTGGCCAGGCTGTACATTACAAGGGCTGTGCCCAGCACGCGCTTTCATACTGCTCTGCGGCAAAATGTGCGTGCTTCTGAAAAATGTGACGTCTACGAAAAATCCCGTGGGCCGGGGTGTCTGCAGACTGTGCAGAAGAGATACGGAGTTGCACACTCTTGTTTATCTACTCTTGGTACAATGGATGGAACAAAATTATATTTCTCTTTGCAGCGGATATAAGTACTTTTTTTCCGGAAGACACTGCATATCTTTTTCCAGTCATTTGCCATTGGTAAAAGAGTACCTGGTTAGAAGGTACATGTACTGATTACTGATTTTCACGTCCCTTGCACGTACATGGAGGTTACATTGAAGTTTCGTTGCAGCTTAACCCATTGAACGCTGATGACGTCTATAGACGTCATTGAAAATGCCCCCCATGCGCGGGATGACGTCTATAGACGTCATGGGATATATAGTGATTTCTGGCACTCTCTGGTGGGTAAAAGTAGGCACTTCAGTCACGTGACATGACCTGTCAAAAAGTGCTAACGCTGAATCGCGTACATGCGTGGCACCAAGGAAAGGCGCATGCATAGATCGATCTGTAGCTGCACGGAAGCTGCGCAGGGCCTTCTCGTGTGACGCAGCATGTAGCTGAGGCCCTCAGCTTTCGTTTGAGCCCACATACGTCATGATGCGGCAATTTTTTGAACTCACGTACAGTTCGAGTAAAATCGGCAAGGATTTTTCGGGCATTTCACTTGGTTGCACGCATTTGCCATGTAGCTCATCGTCTTCAGCGTCGTATTTCCTTTCGGAATCAGTTGTCCTCGTTCGTCCGACACTTTGCGCATTGCTGCGCAAGGAGAAATAATGCGAGGTGTTATTGGAAGCGAACCGCGACAGGCGTCCTCCCGGCAATAGTCCTTGTTCGTCGGAGCCCATGCGCATGGCTGCGCAAGAAGAAATATTGCCAGGTGTTATTGGAGTCGCATCGGAGCAGTCGTCCTCTCCTGCAGGCGACGAGTAGGACAGTATATACTTCGGCGACTGGACCAAGAGAGCTGACATCAAAACGGCCTGCTCGGAACAAATCGTCAGCTGATCAGCAGGTGGCTTCCAGCGACCAAGAAAAGCATTGACGGTGATATTATACCAAGAATCCAGCACACACTCTGTACTCTATGCACAAAATCTCTCATGCTGGAGTTGCTAAAGTTTCAGTAGTCCCAAAAATTTGCAGACGATGTTCTACATGTAATAGTTTGTCATTTCTTTCCGTCAAATACCCCGTAAATTCTAGTTTGCTCAGTCTTTGGCTCATTGTTCTTCCGTACTCGTCACCACGTCAGTACTGTACATGTAGCAACAATGTCAATGTGTTCTGCCACTGAATTATTGTAGTTACTCTATCTTACCTCAAAGTCTCATCTTATGCTTTTCCAAAGGCTTCTCTGCACTGTTTTCATGCTGTTGCAATGGAGTTGCTATGCTGTTGCTATGGAGTTGCCATGGTGACCACACCCGATATCTTCGTCGGAGCTGCTGGACGGATGAAAAATCCGAAGTTTTTCCAAACCATGCTGTTTCTGCATTCATCTGGTTATTTTGACCTGCTTCCAGCGAGCTTGATATTTTGCCACTATAGACACTGAAGCAAGTTCTGCCAATTTCTGATATGCTGCTGGTGCCGTCGAAATACTGAAAATGCCGTTATTCAATTCTCCGACTTTGGGTGGCTATATCTCTGTGCCAAGTTATTCTTTTTGCTTCAAATTTTCTGTGGAGTCTTCCTAAACCTATCTGAATCGGATACAAAAAAGAAATACGCGTATTTCTCGTTTTGAAAAAATCGCCTGAAGTGCCTAGTAAAAGCACTGTTAGTCAGTTGGATCATGATCCTGCCTCTTGTACGATAGGTCGTTGGTACGAATCTCGCTTGGAAATACTACGCGTCTTTTTTTCTTCTCTTTTCAGCGATCCTTCAGCTGCAATTTCACGCATTTGGCGTATTTCACGCAATTTGAGCAAACTTGCGTCCCCTGTTGTGATGCGCTATTCTTTTTGGGGACTGTATCGATTCTGTCACCCTGTGGTTGATAGTCTTGGCAATCATTTCCAAAATATTTGAGGACCCCAGTTGCCAGAACCCTGGAGTTTTAGAACTTCCTATTGGCCCTGTTTTTAGCATTTTATATGCAGAGTACCATAGGCAAGGCCCAGTAGCGCTGAATGGGTTAAACACACCATCATGTAACACCCCCCCCCCCCCCCCACACACACACACTATTAGTCTATTAGTGTAGGTCAGATTGGAGCAGACACAGTGAAGAAGGCCCCCAGTAGAAGTGTGGCCACAGCTAGCCTTCACGAGAGCATGCATGACAGGGTGAAAGATGAACCAATGTGCAGAAACATGTCGTACCACGGACGGAGATAAGCTGAATGCTTTGCGCTCGATCTCTAGAAGCAGGTTGAGTATTTCGTGCTGTGAAGAGCCACGATCCGAATCAAAGTCTGCACTGCTCATCTGACGCAAGCTAGAAGACAAGGAGTTGCACAGAATACACAAGGCAAAAACGGTTTACACGGACAAGAGCCGAAAGTGGACTAGAAGACAAGGGGTTGCATCCAATACACAAGGCAAAACGGTTTACACTGACAAGTGCCGAAAGTGGACTAGAAGACAAGGGGTTGCATCGAATACAAAAGGCAAAAACAGTTTACACGGACAAGTGCCGAGAATGGCTACGAAAGCAAATCAGGACATCCCGTGCCACGATGGTGGCTACATGTGATCTTGAACGGGTCAATGCGTAGTAAGGATTCGTGTCCTTGCTATCTCAACTACAATGCAGGACATTACACACGCCACTAGTAGTATTCATATGTTTGAGGGAGTTTGGATATACATTATACATATTGCCCCCATCGTTTAGGAGCCGCATCTGACGCCTGATCATGGGGTGGTGGCGTCCCACGGAAGCGGAAAGGTGGTTCTTGACCAAGGAGTTGTACGACTCCTTGTTCTTGACCTGCCCGGTACGCGAACCCGCCAATTTATTTTTTTATACATATTGAATGTATTGTTTAGCGCTGACGCCAAATTTCAGTGCGAGGCGCAGCACTTCGAAACGTTGCTGAAATCGATATGAAAACGGTGTTCAGTGCTTTGCAGAGTGATGGGAACACGGCTAGATGCCGACAAATGATCAGAGAGTGAGCTTCACTCTTTGCTGCAGAAGCTGCAGTTCAGGGTAAAAATGCGGTGGCGTGAGCAAGGTGTGTTCTAACACCACATAGCAGCGCTCAGAGCAGCACTGTTCCAAGTTCATGTATCGTGCCAAAACCACATTCGCACATTGCCAATATCACTCCTGCCTCGAACGAAAACCCAACCAAAACACCAGCAGTCATCTCTTAGGATACTGTAAAGAGAGAAATTTTTGCTAGAGATTATATTTCGCTATTTTCGCAGCCATCACACATTCGCGAATATAAATCGTCGCACACTGCTCTGTACATTGACTGCAGACAGTACAAGATCCGACTGAAGAGATAAAATCGCAAAAGTTTCTCGTCGTGAACGAGCACAATTCTTTAAAACGCGAACTTTGCGCGCCGCAAAAATTTATCGCTTTACAGTACACACCACTTGTGTACCTGCTATATAAATTCAGTAGAGGGACAATTCTTCTGCTTGGCTTCACAACATTTCCACCAGCTGGCAGGACGGTTCGCAATGCCTTACCCTTTGATGATGTTACGGACACGAGCGGTTGAGGAGTAGGTATCATGCCAACTCTGGGAAGCTGTTGGAGCCAGCGGGCAGATCCTCTTCACAAGAGCCTCGTCCCTACTTGGACAAGCAGAGGAGACGACACACAGAATGCAACATACAGACTATCAGACTACATTGGTCTATGCACTGCGCTGCATTGCGCGAAAATGCGTGCGAGTCAACTCGACTCGTACTCAGTAGTTCAGCATACTTCAAAAGCAGAAACCAGCAGAGGGTAGAGGGAAGAGGGTTCCTGGTTCGAGTCCTGGTGGTAGCAGTCATTTCTTTCTTCAGATATTTCCCGCTTCGAACTCCCTCATACGTATGAATAATATAAGTAGAATTGAGGAAAAGATTGACATCATGCAAATGATGACATACCAGCACAGGTCCAGGCAAAGGATTCACAACAAAACACACGAAAACAATGGTAGATAGCCGAACCACGCAACAGAAGCAAGACACGACTCTTGCGCAGCTATTGGTGTCGCATTGGCACAGTTTCGATTCGTGTTTATTCATGCCCTAGCTTTGCTCATTTCCTCCCTTACAATACCAGCTACGCTCTCTCTCATCTTGCCATTACAATTCTGAAGAAAAATATAAAAAATAACTATATCAGTATCCATCAGACTCGAGTTCTTCTCCTGTTGTTCGGTTTGGCTATCCTGTTGTTCGGTTTGGCTATCTACCGCTATAACAAAAGCAGAGCCCAGATGGTGAGCCAAGGACAAACTTTAAAGGAAAAGAAAGAAGCGGAAACCCTGGGGCACAAGGAATGCGTTCAACTTCACCACCTAGACCAGATCTTGGACAGAGAGACACGTGCACAACTTCGTATAAAACTGACAGGGAGTACATGCACTGACACATTCCAGGGGAGACTTCACAGCAGACAACATTAAGAAGATTACAGTACTGTTGAGCGCCGAAGAACGGAGCGCCGAAGAACGACCATGAAAATAAGAACGGTCTAAGCTAAGTTAGGAGGCTGACCCCCCCCCCCCCAGTTCTTTGGCGACCGACAGTACTGTAAGGAATTCTGGCAAAGCGCCATTGCGAGCAAAAATTTGACAGGCAACTGCTGATCGTGAAACCGTCCGAACTTACATGGCTGATACTTTCCCATTGGTTGTGCGCATGGCTTGGGTCGGATGTAGTTGTTGCTGCTGCGTCATTGAGCTTGGGTGCATTTGTATACGTCGATCGCGCTTCCCTACAAGACAACACGAGAAATAAATCAGCCACCTTGACGTACATCTGCAATCTACAATCACTCATTTGCAATGGGTCTGTCTGTCTTTGACATTTAGCAAAAGCTCAAATATAATTGAGCTTGGGTGCATTTGTATACGTCGATCGCGCTTCCCTACAAGACAACACGAGAAATAAATCAGCCACCTTGACGTACATCTGCAATCTACAATCACTCATTTGCAATGGGTCTGTCTGTCTTTGAGATTTAGCAAAAGCTCGAATATCAAAACATGGATGTAAGTAAGCGACGAGGCGACACCAGTTTCAAAATTGCGAACAAAAGGATGAGCTGAATCGACATGCGTAACAGCTTTATTGTAACAATGTGGAGAACGAAAAATGTGATGGACAATGATGAAATAACTTTTAACTACAGTCAAACCTCGTTAGGACGAACTTCAAGGGGCTGAACAAATTTGTTTGTCTTATCGGGAGTTCTTCTAATCCAGATCTGACAAAAAAATCGATATGCATATCATATGGATTGCATTTACGTGAAGGTGCATACTGTGGTAAATGGAAAGCATTTATTCTCAGCATAAGCCAGAAACAGACAATGTGCTACAATTCGTGACTGTGCTTCCATATACAAACAAATACATTACGATAAACCATAGATTGAATATGAGTGATTACGAGTGTGCATGTGAAGCACAGCATCTCAACATCCATACTTTACAAAAACAGTTCACGGTTCGTGTGAGACTCGATCGGAGCCAGTGGAGGCCGAGTTTTCCGCATCCGCAGGAACGCCACTACCCTCTACGGATCAACGCTCTTTGCTTCACAAAACACTTCACAACTCGATCAACGACGCGAACAGTGTACGCTGAAGCTTGGCCTAGAAAGCACGCACGTCAGTGCAGTGCGTCTACTACGATTCACTACGTACATGTAGATCTATGTACGTACAATCAATGTATGGACCCGGCTATCGAAAAAAAAGAAAGAAAAAAGACAGCCAGCGCACGCGCACTCACCCAAAGTTCGTACTACGCGCTAATTTTATTCAAATCACACTTGAAAATAGTCCGTCTTCGCGAAAGTTCGCCATACAGGAGTTCGTCGTAAACGAATAATTTTGACTTGATATGATGCCTGGCCAACCATAGGATTGGCCCTAGTTCGTACTAATGGAAAGTTCGCCTTATCAGATTTTAACGAGATTTGACTGTACATGCAGTTTTCGTACAACTTCCATTAGAAAGAAAACGTTGTACTGAAGAACAAAATTGAGACAGTGTGAAAGCCGTTACACATGTCGATTCAGCTCGTCCTTTTATTCGCAATTTGGAAAACATGGATGCACCAGCAAAAATCCAGCAATAAGATTCGTTAAAGGGGAAGTTAAGGCAAAAATCAAGATTTCACCAGTTGTAGTCTTCGGGGCGCTGAGTCGAATGGTCTTGGTCCGAGAAAGCTGAGACGCTCCCTTCCTACTTGAATCCCAATCGAACTCGCGCACTTCCACCGAAACTGGGTGACTGTGCCCTACTAGATGGGGATTTGTATGCAAAATGTCACTAAAAGCGCCATTTCGTTCTTATAAAAGCACGGATGACCGCGATTGGCCCATATGTTGTAGTCTTTTGGACGCTGAGTCGACTGGTTTTGGTCCGAAAAGGCTGCGATGCAGCGTTCCTCCTTTATTCCCCACCGAACATGGTTGAAGAAGCGGTCACGTGCTCCTGGGTGCCCAAATCACCTGGTCACCACGCCAGCAGGCGACAAATTTCACACCAAGGTTCAACTCGAGTGACAGGAGTGCACCCAAAAAAGGTCAAACAGGCTAGTAAGTTGTACCCTGCGGGCACGGTGGCCAGGTGACTGGCGTACGCAGGAGCACGTGACCGCTTGTTCAACCATGTTCGATTGGGAATAAAGGAGGAACGCTGCATCGCAGCCTTTTCGGACCAAAGCCAGTCGACTCAGCGTCCAAAAGACTACAACATATGGGCCAATCGCGGTCATCCGTGCTTTTATAATAACGAAATGGCGCTTTTAGTGACATTTTGCATACAAATCCCCATCTAGTAGGGCGCAGTCACCCAGTTTCGGTGGAAGTGCGCGAGTTCGATTGGGATTCAAGTAGGAAGGGTGCGTCTCAGCTTCCTCGGACCACGACCATTCGACTCAGCACCCCGAAGACTACAACTGGTGAAATTTTAATTTTTGCCTTAACTTCCCCTTTAAATATAAAGGTAGATACAGATACAGCCGCCTCCACTGAAAATTCGAACTCGGATAAAACAGACAACTTGGGTGCATCAGTCACCAAAACACCCACAGCAACGGGCCACAGCTACAAACCGGTAGGATAGATACAGTTTGCCATGACCAGTGAGCTACACAGCATCCAAACTATACCTTTGAACGGCCGACATACAGCACAGGCGTCCTGACGGCAATCTTTGAAATGCTGTACAATCTGGCGGCTCGAAGAGCAATGCGCATCTGCAGAAAACAAAACACAAACGGTAATGTTCGAGGCGAGCGGCGTTAAAGCATGTGCGCAGTGGAGAGGTGCTGGTGAGAACGCTATGTGTGGGCGCGCATGTGCGTGTTTTAATGTTAAAACAATCGCATTCTGCACTCGACATGAAAACACCCACATACTCGTATGTACACACGCATACGGTTATGTTCAAATTGGTATTTGAACAATTTGAGAATCGAACAATCATCGAACATTTGAAATTGACCAGTGAAGCACAAATGCGAATGTTCAATGATTGCATGAAAACCGTATTACTAATAGGCTTTAGAGTCCATAGCTTTTTTGCTTTCCTCAGAATTCGTGGCAGTCTCGAAATTGCGTACCCCAGTGCCACGATAACGTTGGTTCTACTTTACCCGTTTATCAATTTTGAAGATCTTGGGCTCGTTGGAAAGCTTTTGATAAGAGAATTACAAGGAGCCCATACTCGTCAATAGCACACCTCATTGTCTGCCAAACGCGCTCCAAACACGAGTCCAGTTCCAGATCTGAGACAAAATCGGTCTTCTTTTGCCATTTCACTGTACCTAGCTCGGAACTGTTCAAATTTTTCGAGAGGAAGCTTTCCTTGCTTTGTCTTCGCGCCGCACCGGTCCTGGCATATGCTGCCTGCCCTGAAGCTAGGAAAACTTCCTTTTCATGCACTGTTGACTCACAGCACGCAATGCAGAAAATACAAAATGTTCGATCTATCGCCGCTCTTTAACCCTTTGAGGCCCATAGTGCGGATATATCCGTACCAGTGTACAGTGCATACTTTTCAAAGCGCAACCTGGCGTAACTCGGCTGTCCCTTGACCAAATCGGACAATCGAAAGGGCTATCGACATTAGAATTGTCTCAGCTATCGGCTCCAAAAACCCCGAAAGCGATCCGAGTTTGGAGATACGAGACTCGAACTAAATTCGCTCAGCAGAGTCAACTTGAGCGCGTGCATTTTGAACTCGTTTTTAGAGGTTTTTCCTGACTCGCGGCCCACGCAGCTACAGATAGTTCACGTCATCGCAAAGGCGTGTTTCTCAGCTCTCCAGTAAAACAAGTTGAGTGATCTGCGATGCAATTTGTTGAAATGGCAGAGAATTTGAGTTGGGCGCTCGCAATGCTGGCTTTGGAGCGCCGTATCGCGCTGCGGCGCTGGTTCTGTGGATCGAGTGATGTATTGCTGGCTATCGCTGTGTTCCTCTGGCCAAGAGCTTTCCAGAAAGCCCAATATCACCAAAATTGGCCAAAGGACACCAAAGTTACGACCAGATAAGTACCTGGGCTCGCGTATGCAGTGCATTTCTTGAAATAATTGTGGGCCCTAAAGGGTTAAAACTTCACCGGAAAGACTTCGGACCTATTCGAGGCGATAGCTGAGAGTTTTCTCCACCATCTAGACCCATCGACTGATGAATTTCGTCAAGATTGGGCCGAGCTACGAAAGCCTGACTGGACCTCATACTTGCCAACCCAGCCAAATCAAATCCCTAAGGGCCCGGTCACACATGCACTGGGGTTCGCTTCGGCGTCGAGTTTCTGCGACAGCGAGCCTGGTGTCGCTCCAGCGAAACCACGTGTGTATGGTCACACATACAAACAGGGCAAACTCCTACTTTGGCGGGAAATGAGAGTAAAGTGGACTGTGGTGCATACGGTACGGAGAATAGACGAGGTCAATGACTATCTTGCACGCATTTTTGTTGCATGGACATCATACCCATACAAATGTCTCGTAGCAAGTCCATAAATAGCAGACCGCGGTGTTTTCCGCTGAAGCGAAACCACAGAAGCGACAGTCTCGCTTCGAAATTTTTGGAGGAAGCGGATTGGAGTTTACGCTGAAGCGGAAGTTCCGCTTTTCGCCGTTGGCATGGTATTTTTCGCTCCTGCGACGTCGCTTCAGCGTATCCGCTACTTTCGGGTGCATGTGTGACCGGGCTCTTAGTCACACACCCAGTTTCCCTTAATTTTCTCTCATTTCCCTTATTTTCCTGGTTTTCGCCAAATTTCGGCCATTTTCTCTTTTTTTGGGGCACTTTTTGATTATTTTTGCCTATCTTTCCCCAATTTTTTCTCTTCTTTTTATTCTTTTCCAACCCATTGCTAGGGGGACCAAAACCTGAGTTTCTATATTGTCAGATCGCCCCTATAGGCCTACATGCGTGATTGTGTGAAATGCAGGGCCGCATTTGCCCTTGTCACACCACAAAACAACCTTTTTTTATGAACACTCATGGTTCAGTGCCATCACCGGTAGTTTTCGATCAAAATCAAAAAGCCCCGGTATGCCGGTAGTGCCCGTCGTTTCCCGGTATGATACCAGGAAAACCGGTATGGTTGGCAAGTATAGGACCTGCATGCATACAAAATGTCCATGGTTCGATTTCGAACCATGGCTGCCAAAGGGTGAATACGCCGGATAATGCGCACACTATTCGGAAACTAAAGCACCCAGTAGTGCGGATACAACGGTTTGTGCAGCCCAACTAGCTTTACACACATGTTTTCCAACGTCTCTGGGGACCAGCGGTGGCCGCTCAACGATCTGATTCTGTAGAACCTTGGGCGGCAAATATGTGCAATGCAACGCTGCAACCTTTGTACAAAGGGAATTATTGCGCGCACGAGCATGACGTCATGAAAGTGACGTGAACTCAAAAGTTTGTCGGAACAGCACTGAATGCAGGAACCAAGGACTCATGCACACTCTTGTGGAGACTTACAGCTGCATCCAGTATGCATGTTGCAGATCTTCATGTGCTCCAGAACGCTCTTAAACAGGCCACACATTGGCTCATTGCACCGCCTATCACATTCGTGCGCGTGGAGAAGCAAGCGCAGCTGACTGGTGACGGCTTCGGACTTCATGGGCTGCAAGGCGCGCAGAAACACAAGACGTGCACACACGCACACGCATGCACATGCATGCGCACACACACACACACACACACACACACACACGAGGACAGTCAAATTTTCAGCCGAGCATACCTGCCGTAGTGTCTTGTATTAACATTAAAGCATGTAAGAAGCCTGTTTTGAATAGAAGCCTGATTTTCAAGATACACTGTCGGCACATAAGCCTGGTTTTAGTGTTGACATACATGGAAATACCTGTCTTGCATAGAAGCCTGTCTCATATAGAAGCCTGCAGAATTTCCAACGAAAAGTCATATAAGCCGCGGCCTTTGTACACGATTTCACGGCACATGTGAGTACAGTAACCTTCAGGGAACGACAGTCCTGTTCCTACTGTACAGCTGACGTACTCCATAATAATAATAATAATAATAATAATAATCTTCACTACAGTGCATTTCAAAACTATAGACGCGCAGGGTTTTTGAAATATTTCAAATTTGGCTGGAACTTTTTGAGAATAGTTTTCGGAATATTGCTCAGGATCGCTCCACAATTACTCTCATATAGTTTCTAAAGGATTGGATAACAGACGCCCAATTTGGAAAAATTTATGCACAAAGTGATCACAGATTTTATGTGGTATAGATGCTGGCATAACGGTTTTTGCCTAGGTACGCGTCTATAGTTTTGAAATGGACTGTAGTACAGTCGTCCCTCTCTAATCCGGCACTTGTTTATCCAGCACCCTTGCAAACCAGCACACTTTCTGGCAAAACGGATTTTTTCAGTTCATTTTCTACGCTTTAATCCGGCACTTGAATTCCGCCTCCAAATCACTCAAACTGTACATAATTCGATTTTCTAATCCAGCAGTTGTACATCGAATACTGTCGGGGACCATTGTAACATACACAACACATGTAACATACACTTGGGAATATCCTATGCTACTGCAGAAGGTATTCCCAAGTGTATGTTATAGACATGCATTCCACAAAGTACTTGGTTGGACACAGAAAATCCCTATGTTTTGACGTACAACACAAACATGTATGACAACATGTGGGCCGGGTTGGAGGGCAGGAGTTGATAATCCAGCACCCTTGTTTATCCAGCAGAAAATGCCGTTGCAAAAGGTGCCGGATTAGAGAGGGACGACTGTAATAATAATAATAATGTAAGGAAAAATTGGAGGCGTATCCAATTTCGAAAGAGAAGGTGTCGGCACCGACGCAATCCACACAGTCAAGTAAGCCAATTTGTTAACCGAACGTTTTCGTTCCCTTCTCATCATGGGTAAGTACAGGGAATAATGGAAAAATGTCAAAATACAGCAATTTATAGAGCTACAGCAAAAGCATAGATCGAGAAACTCACGCTATACGTGTTGAAAAAATTAAATTCAGCAGAACAGGTAAAACACAGGGTGAAGGTGAAGAAATGACTAACACATAATGAAAGCATCAGTGAGGAGAAGCACTCCTGACACTTTCACGAGGATTAGTGCCAAACAACTGAAGTGACAAAACATTTCCCTTCTGAACACATAGTTCAGGGGACAACTTACGGATATATAACACTTCCAAAACAGACAAATGTAATACAGATCTGCCACGGGCCTAAACTGAGAAAACATCATCTCTGTACAACTCACGACAACTACCACTAACGGACAGATGACTCTTGATAGCCGATTGCTGATTGTTGGAATGTGGCGTCTTTTTCGTTGCCTCCAATGTCGTAGCTCTTGACCCGTCCTTTCCACCGGGCAGTCGCCTTGCAGTCACTTCCGATGCCGTAGGTCCTGACTCGTCCCTTCCACCACACCGCCTGGTCACTCGTCCGGTGTCTGATTCTTCCGTTGTCTTGATCAGTGGCTTTCGTGGTGGTCTTCCACGCTTCCTGCCACTTACGCTCGTTGTCACTTCCGGTATCGCCGCCTGTTCGTCTCCTCCAGTACGCATCCTCACCTGGCTGCGAGTAACTCTTCGAGTCGGTGTCCCTGGCAGTGCTTTAACAGCTCTGCACCTCTTTGCCTTGCCGACTTGGGCTGGCCCAAGCCCAGCACATGCTGCCGATGCAAGAGTCGATTGTGCCGTTGCACCAGACGAGGACGGGTCAAGAGCTGCGACATACCAATGTTTACACGGTGACTCAACTGTGCATAGACTGTAATACATGAAAAAAAATAAGAACGGTCTAGGCTAGAATGCTGACCACCCCCCCCCCCCCCCCCCCCCCCCCCAGTTCTTGGCGACCGGCAGTACTATACATGTACAATCATCCAGGTTACATCTCAAAATACGCCCGTTGAGCATGATCCCCTTTACTTAACTTACTGCCCAGCCTGAAAAGCACTTACCATCCCGGATGCTGGACCTTGAGCAATACTCTGCTGCCTGGCCATACCGTTGAGAGAAGGCACTGGCATTCCTGTGCCGCCTGGCAGACCATTCATCCCAACACTCTGGATACCGCCGCCGCCCATCAGGCGGGGCTGCGAACTATTGCTCGCTGCCAGATGCCGCATGGCCGCGAGATGCTGCTCCTGCATCATGTGATGGGTTCCGTTTAGTGGCATTTCCTGCAACGAATCGCACGAAAACAATGGAAATCATGTGCATTTAGACCCGTAGTGTTGGCATGAGCAAGTCACCTCTTTCGAAATAGGTGCACAAGTTGACTCCCCATAATTCAACACAAAAAAGTGCACCCGTTGGATAACTAGAACTCCGCCGTCGTACAGAAGGGCAGTGGTGTACATGCCCTTGGGGTCGGGTTCCACTGCGGCTCCGCGGCACTTGGCTGCACGCAGCGGAGCAGTGCGGTTCCACTGACTCGCCATTCGCGGTACCGCGGTCGTGCTCCACGTTTTTTGATGACGTTTTACTTACCTGTGCGCGGGTGCGCGTGTGCGAAATCAAAAAAATCCTCGTGTTCTGGCCTGCACAACGAATTAAAATTTGAATTTTAAAATTCTAGCGTACAAAACAATGCAAAGTACGTGAAACAGGTCGAGGTGCGACCGCGGCTCGCAGTTTTTGATCAAGAATCATAGCGAAAGCTCGTGGTGAGCCGCGGCCTCGCTGCTCCAGCTTGAGCCGTGGTCACTATGGTAATGATGACGTTTCAAGCCGCGGATGACGAGCAGAGGAGCAGCGGAGCCGCAGTGGAACCTGGCCCTTAGCGCTTATTTCGAAGTTAGAATAAGATGGAGTGTAGGTACCTGCAATTCTAAGTTCATTCTATTCTCCATCTCCAGCCAAGAGTAGCTCAAAAAGCAATCCCCTGCTCGCTCACTGATCGACAACAACGTTCAAGAAACCCACCTGATCTCGAAATCTGAGTCAACTGTGTGCGAGGCAAAGTGCAAAGATTTGATCGAGAACGGCTTTTCCAGGTGGCTGGCTCTGTTCGTAGGCCTCAGTAACTTCGTACTTTCTTATGTGCGGAGATGTTTGCGAACAACAACGCTGTTGACTGGAAGTCGTAAAAATCATTGATGTTCATGCTCCACTTCTGTTCTTCAGAATGAAGTACTGCTCTCTGATGGACCTTCCAGGCACGGATTCGGCTGCGCTTTTCTTTCCTGCCTACATCGTTCCAGGACAGCACCAGCGCCGGGAGAGACACAGCCCCAGCACCACACACCCTGTTCTGTGAACTCAAACACGGCACTAGTTTATTCACGAGGCGGGAATTTCTCTAGCCAGAACGGTAACTTGCTGCACTACACTTAGATATTAGAGGAAAGAACTACAGCCAAACCTCGCTAGGACGAACTTCAAGGGACCGAACAAGTTTTTTTGTCTTATACGGAGTTCTTCTTACCCAGATCTGACAAAAAAATTGATATGCATATCATATGGATTGTATTTTATGTGAAGGTGCATTCTGTGGCAAATGTAAAACAGTTTTTCATAACATAACCCAGCAACAGGTAAGAACAATGTGCACTAAATTCATGACAGCATTACATCCGCCTTGGAACATGTTTTGCCAGTACCAGAGGCCTCCAGTGCTCCACTATCAGAAACAAACTACAGCCAGCATACCCACGGGGACCGAAAGTTCGTACTACACGCTGATTTTGTTCAAATCACGCTTGAAATTAGTTCGTCTTCATGAAAGTTCGTCGTAAACGAATAATTTTGACTTGATATGATGCCTGGCCAACCATAGGATCGGCCCTAGTTCGTACTAAAGGAAAGTTCGCCTTATCAGTGTTTGTCCTAACGAGGTTTGACTGTATGAAACTTGCCTGAATCACGACCTGTTTCATGCACCAAAATCCACAATCTCTCATACCAACACACCTGCGCTTGCTTGATAGGAAAATTGGCTTCAAAGCACAAGGAGAGTGCGATGTTTGCTTTTCCGCAGTGAGTGGATATACATGTAGCTGCGTGGTGCAGGGGGAGGCACATCTGACCCCAGAGAATGGAGATCATAGTTGCATACTCTTGCCTAATACGGACCCTCGATAACGCGTACATTGAACGAACAATAAAAATTATAGGAATGGGTTTGCTCCCACACTGGAGCTCGCGCTATTCCGTCGACGACTTGACACTTGACTGACTCGCGACTGCCATCCAGACAACACGAGAAGTCCATCGAACCTTCAACTCGGCAAACCTGCAAGAAAGCACCACTCCCTGCTCAATACACAGTATTTCGGGGAATTCACCCTTCAGTTGAGCTTGAGTATGCTGAGGAAAATTGTGCCTGAAGAGCACCACTTATATAGTGCTTTCCAGGCACAAACATCACCAGGGATACAAACTTACAGAGACACTCCGTTTCCAGCGCGACAAACACCTCGTGAACACCAGATAGCAGCGTGAGTCAGTTATCGCTCCTGGACGGTTAGAACGGACGTAGAGGACCCTCTACGTCTGTTCTCACCGTCCAGGAGCGATAACTGACTCACGCTGCTATCTGGTGTTCACGAGGTGTTTGTCGCGCTGGAAACGAAGTGTCTCTGTAAGTTTGTATCCCTGGTGATGTTTGTGCCTGGAAAGCACTATATAAGTGGTGCTCTTCAGGCACAATTTTCCTCAGCCTACTCAAGCTCAACTGATGAGGGGTGAATTCCCCGAAACACTGTGTATTGAGCAGGGAGTGGTGCTTTCTTGCAGGTTTGCCGAGTCGCTCGTGTGCTCTGGATGGCAGTCGTGAGTAAGTCAAGTGTCAAGTCGTCGGCGGAATAGCGCGAGCTCCAGTGTGGGAGCAAACCCATTCCTAAAAAAAATCATCGCCGAAGTCGCAACCTCTATTTAATAAAAATATACACAATAAAATAATTCATTGGTTGAAAAAATAGTAAATACAAAAATAATACTTGTAAGGTATACTAATATGTACTATTCAATGAGATATTTCGAACAGCTTCAAAAGCAAGTGACTTTTTCGACTGAACGAAGAAATCTTATCCCGACTGCAGCAGCTCCTGTGACCTACCTGTGATAGGCCAAGTGGTGGCCAAAGAGATCCATTCTGCACAGCAGCAGAATCATTGGCACTGCCATGAGCTGCACTTCTGTGTCCACGAGTGCCAACTGAGCTCGAAGCACCTGCCTGTTGGTTAGGGAATTCCGATGAAAATGAGTTAGGAATAGGAGTAGTACTAGTAGATTGCAGGGCTGCCATTAAAGCTCCATGTGGTGGTTGCTCAAGATAACTACTGGAGCTTGTAGAAAATAAATCCATCTTGGGGGACCAAGTCGCTTCGGAATTCGAGCTAGTTGCTTCACCCTTCGTACTTTTAGGCTGGAGCGACGAAGCTGGTACTGATGCCAGAGCAGACAGAAAGTCTAGGAATCATGATGATAAAACAAGAGGACACACGTACACACCACCACACAAAACAATACATGCACAGCCACACGTACAAAGAACACAAAATCACGATCAATTCCAGTCGGGAGAAAACAACGCATACAGGAAAAAGACAGGGAGAGAAATAGAGGAAAAAAGAGTTGGGCAGTTTCCTACCTGCGTCTGTTGAATCAGGACCTGGGTAGACTCGCTTCGGAGTTGGTTCCGTCATGATTGCGTTGAGTAGGTCGACGAAACGCTTTGAGACTCAGATAATCCTAAATCCAATCCTGATTCTATTGTATCTCAATCCGACCAACACACGACCTTGGACAGGCGGACGACGATGGCCGTCTCGTTTCGTAGGAGCAAATGCTCCGACAGCAAACGAACAACGCCGTCTGCTGAATAGCTGGTCACCCAACGGAATGAAAGCCACCAAACAAGATTGGAATCCAAAATCAATCGTACAAGGTGTCAGCAAGGCAAGCAAAGGGACGCTACTCTAAGTACGCACAACCGTGTACACGCGGACAAAGGTACACTGCAAGTGAACCTACTCGCTAGCGATCGTCAGACGTGTGCGTGCAGAGTCGCCAACAAACTATCTTCAACTCGTATGAGCGCACATATCGAAGTGGACCTGGGCTGCAACAAAGCAAGGACAGCTACGTGAACGGCAAGAACACAGCGGCGACAAACACAGACTGAGACGGGCTAAAGAGATGGCTTCGATTAAAACAAGAAAAGCTGAACACATCCAAAATCAAAGTGAGCGATCCAGGTGGCGGCCGTCGAGGATAGGATAGGTCTACGTGGCAGCACGCGGCACGGAGCCTATTTTACGGGGGTCGCACCATTACTACCATGGGAGCAAGCGCAACTAGCTGAACGCACCGCCAAATAGTGGTCTTTTTTCCTCTCACTCAGGCTCTCTCAAACTGCGATCCTAAGTAGTAGCACTCCGAACAAGGTAGGAAGACGACGTTTAGACTTTAGCTGAAAGAGCCACGCATGCACAGCACACTACTAGGCGCATACTACTAGTAGTACAACTAGTAGCAGGCTGCCGCGAAGGAAGAGTGCCCGTGTATCATGTGTAAGTCAGTAGTAGAATCTACGTGTAGGAGGTCTCCCAAGTCCAAGGATTTAAAATGTGTAGGTCGTAGATCTCCACTATGTAGATACCATGGCATGCACTGATGCAGTGTAGGTGATAGTGATAAAGTATTAAAATTTTATTGACTAGACTGTCGACATGTACATGTCAGTCGTGTACTACTACTAGTACTAGTACTAGTGCATGCTAGCAGTACTGGTACTTAGTGGCAGTAGAGTCCTATGCCTATGCCGCTATGCCACTACGAGTCGTAGTATCCTGCTGTGAATGTGAGCATGCTAGCAGTGAGTGAGTACTGACTGTCAGTGTATGGTGGAGTCTCCGTGGTATGGCTATGACGGTATACAGTATAGTATGAGTAGTACGAGTATGAGTATGAGGGCAGTGCAGTATGGCATTGGTATGGACCATGATGGACAGCGCTAGGCTAGCCTAGGGCTAGGGCAGCTCGCGCAGCAGCGCAGGTGAATGAGAAATCCAGTCAGTGCACTAGCCACTACGCGCCGAGCGTTGTGCGGCCTTACGACTACGAGACCTGCGAGCACTGGGCATTGCCATTGGTGCAACTGCAAGGCGCAAACCAGGGAGTCAAGTACAAAACGTGGGTTTGCGCCAGGCCTGGCCAGGGAGTCTTATGTTAAACGAGTACAAAACGTGGGTTTGCGCCGAGTCATAATAATAACTACTCCCTGGCGCAAACCCACGTTTTGTACTTGACTCCCTGGTTTGCGCCTTGCACCAAGCCCTGGCCTGCGCCTGGGATTACGGCTCCCGGCCTGGCGCAAACTCACGTTTTGTAGTGCCGCGACTGGATTTCATTGAGCAGGATCTGTACGTAGAATCTACGAGGTAATTTGGCTTTTTTTTATTTTGGCATTTTTTAACTGTGACAAAATAATGTGTAAAATTTGCTTTTCTTCTGGCTGCTAGCATGCTTCTCTTAGTACTCTGCTCCGGATGGCCGTATCAAAACATGGGTGGTGGCAAATGAGAGCCAGTTTATCGTAAATCAACATTGACCAGAAAATTTGGTGCACATAATTCTCCGTGCCACTTCGGTATAAATATTAAAATAATGGTGGGTGCTTTGCCATTTTGTGTAAAATGTGCAAAATAAGCCCGGCCCTGAATGGACGAGGAGGGCAGTGCTTCCGCAGGGCCTTTGGACGAGGTCAGGCCGTCTTGCCATCACTACAGACAATAATGAAGAACAGTAGGTCACGGAATACACTCTGTGAGAATGAAAACCTGGCTGCTATGCTACCTATCCAATTCCACCGTATGACACAGCCACTAGTAGTACAAATTCAAAAACACGGCTTTCGCAGCATACAATGCAGTGGAGAGATTAATAATATTATTATTTTCATCCACTAGCAATCCCGGTTGAAGTGATATCTATCAACATTGATGACCGAATAATCCCAGTTTGCGATGCCATTTTACAAAAAAACTACTTGTGACACACCAATTATTTGAATCCTGAGAATGCTATGAAAGTAGGGCATGATTCAAGACACTTTCCAAAGGGGGATCATTCCTATTTTTTTGACACAACAGGCCGCATGAAGTTAGTGCAAAGTGCGTTTACGAACGAATGATGTTGCTGCAAGCAATTAAAGAATGACTCGAGCTCTCTACTTCAGTACTTGTAGTATTAGTGCGTTGAGGTCGTGTGACTCGTGTCCTTTGACCTCCTCTCAAACAAACATTAGCCATTTGGAAGATCGTTATTGGTAAAATGCTACACTACATGTGACTACAACGTACAGCTGTGGCCAGTTCCATCTAGCAGAGCTGTATTTCCAATACCTCACGAATTTTGAAGCCAATATGCCAACAATTCTATAAGCCGATTTTTCAATATACAGTGAAACCTGTCTAAGACGACCGCTCAAGGGACCTTGAAAACGTGGTCTCTGTAACCAGGTGGTCTCCTTATCGTACTTCTACTATGCTATGCCAGCACATGTTATGTTCACTGCTTGTCTGCTAAACTCAGAGACAAACTTGAGTCAACCAGCAATAGGTGCCTAATTAAGCGGGCTAAGGCGAGTGTTTGGCCATGATCAGTATACATGTGTGTGCTTCAATCGATTTCATTCTCACCAAATATAACCTGTATACTTTCTCTCGCCGTGTAAACTTGAAGCTGTTTGTGTTTGTTTTTAGGTGTCTATCTCGTTGCACCAGTCCTCTTTTAAGCACGATATTTACCCCCGCTCTGCATCATGCCGCACAAATGCTGCTACCCGCGGTCAAGCTTCAGCCACTCTGAACCTACCCAGAGCTACGTCTCGTAAAGCGTTACGGCCTGAATGCTATTTCATTTTTGGCAGCAGACAGATGGAACATGCTTCCACCTGGATGTCGTCAACCTAAACCCCTTTCTGCATTTGTCACAAGCACCAAGTCATTCCCGTAGTAGGGTTCCCAGTAAAACGGCAACGCCTGTTGGGAGTTCCCTAGTAAAATAATAAATTCTACTACTACTATCCAGGGTCATTTGATTGGGAATAACATCCCTTGGCCTTGGGGGCTTGGTTGCAATGGTCTTCTTGGGCAGGTGGTCGCCTTGACAGGTTTGACTACATTCCAATTTTGCAGCTGATTTTGCAGCCGAATCTGATGTATTTTTGAGCTAAGCGAAAAGCCGAATAGGCGAAACAAACGAGCCGATTTGGGGAAAGCCTATTTATAGTACACTAGCCATGGCTGAGGGACGGATGTAACAGTGGTGTGTATAACCTCGCTAATGGCAGTGTCCTCAATGCTAATGGACGCGTCCTGTTTTTGTTTATAATTTAAGGTGCAATTTAGCGCTGATGTGGGTATTTCTTTGCTTTTCTTCATTTGGTCCTTTAAAAGGAAGCGGCTTTTTATTTCCTTTTTCTTCTTTTGCACCGAGATATTATTTCTTGCTGTTTTTTACCATTTGTGTCACGACTTTGAATTGAATTGAATTTTCCAGAATTGATTTGATTTTTAGCGTTATGAGCGGCTTTATTGACATTGCTCTTCAGATTGGATTTTTTATTGGCCCGTAAAAGTGCTTCTGTGGCTGCTTCCGCTAGCTACACGATATTCGCACGCTTCGCGTGCTCAGTGCTTCTGCGGCCGCTAGCTACACTGCACTGTCACTGTGCTACACTGTTCGCACGCTTCGCGTGCTCAGGGCAGCGCTGCTCCGCAGCGCTTCAGCGTGACACACACACACACACACACGTCACAGGTGCCTCTTCTTTATAAGTAAAGATAAAGATGGGTGTACTCTATGATCTGGCAAAACTTAGTTTGCAGCGAAGCCATACCATCGTGACCATGGTGACGGAGTACGGCACTGTACAATTAAATGTAGTGTAGTGTTTCGTGAATTGAAGTCAGTCAGTTAATGTTTGTTGTCACCAAACAATCAAACATCACCAGGGATACAAACTTACAGAGATGCTCCGTTTCCAGCGCGACAAACACCTCGTGAACACCAGAATGATAGCAGTGTGAGTCAGTGTCGCTCATGGAGGTGCTGAACAAACGCTGAAGACCGTTGGCCATTCACGACGCTGTTGCCTCCAAGCCATCTACAAGTAATTCGCAAGCCCACGCCGGGGACAACAATGTGAAGAAGAGGTTGGTGCGGCTTCGGCGATACTTGGGGAATTGTGTGTTGCTCCCTACGTGGGATCTTGCGCTAATCCTGCCGACTTGAATTCTCACTTGACTGACTCACGACTGCCATCCAGAGCACAGGAGAAGTCCATCGAACCTTCCACTCGGCAAACCTGCAAGAAAGCACCACTCCCTGCTCAATAGTACAATACACAGTGCTTCAGGGGAATTCACCCCTCATCAGTTGAGCTTGAGTACTACTACTAGTAGACTCGGGCTTGTGAATTAGATGGCTTGGAGGCAACAACGTTGTGAATGGCCAACGGTCCTCAGCGTTTGTTCAGCACCTCCATGAGCGACACTGATTCACGCTGCTATCGGGTGTTCACGAGGTGTTTGTCGCGCCAGAAACGGAGCGTCTCTCTAAGTTTGTATCCCTGGTGACGTTTGTGCCTGGAGAGTACTGTGGAAGTCACATACTCTGACATAGTAGTGCTCTTCACAGTCTTCAGGCACAATCTTCCTCAGCCTATTCAAGCTCAACTGATGAGGGTTAAATTCCCCGAAGCACTGTGTATTGAGTAGGGAGTGGTGCTTTCTTGCAGGTTTGCCGAGTGGAAGGTTCGATGGACTTCTCCTGTGCTCTGGATGGCAGTCGTGAGTCAGTCACGTGAGAATTCAAGTCGACAGAAATAGCGCAAGCTCCCACGTAGGGAGCAACACACAATTCCCCAAGTATCGCCGAAATCGCACCAACCTCTTCTTTACAGAATAGTATTCACCAAAAAGATATTTGAGTAAGCGCAGATATTTTTAGCATGATAAGTTAGTACATCGATTCACGATGCCGAGCCAAGCTTCCTTGCCTTGACTTGGGAAACAGCTTCCGCTTCGGCAATGGAAACTTTTATTGTCCCTAAGTCATTCTTGATATTGTCGAACCATCTGGTTACAGGCCGTCCTCTGGGCTTCTTGATGTCTTTGGTGTCGATTGAAAGTCTTAGAGCAGTACAAGAAATATATTCTTGTAGTTGTACTACTCCCTGATGCCAATGCATGCCGCTACCCTGTGCATACTAATAAAGCCGCAACATCTTGCCCTAGCAACAGAGCTGCTAGTAGTTGCAACAATCGGGGTGAACATCCGGACGGACGGCTACTAGTATTGGCATCTTGGTGCTGGCCTAGCTAGGCTAGGCTCTGCCCTGTTCTGTGACGGGTGACCATGGTTATGTGTCACAGAAGGTTGAGACATGGCGCACAGAGTTGT